TGGATAATTAACAATTTATTCATAAAGAATAAAATAGACTGTATGTTTCTTAAAATTATATATATACCAAAAAGATATGTATTAATTATACAAAATATATCATCTAAAAAATAAGCAAAAATTAAAAATTGAATTGCTTGAATGCTCAAAAAGTATTCGAGAAATTTAATTTCTAAAATCCGGCATACGTGCAAAGCTCGTTTGTTTATGTTAGAACAGAATGTATTCATTGTATAAAATTGCTAATTAATCTTTATTTTCTACAAATAAGATTTTTTTTATAACAAATTTCCTTGTACTAATACTTTTGCTCTCACTGTAAATACATTAAATGTCTGAAATATAGAACTGCTTTCTTATTTCAGTACTTATTTTAGGAATACTATTAAAATGCCTCTTCTAAAAATTAATTTAAGACACAGCTTAAAATATTTTGCAAATTAAAATCTTATTTTAAAATATATTAGTGCAATAGTGCAATAGTGCAATATTAATATAATAGTACAATAGTTGATGATAACGTAACAGCAGTTAATCGGTAAAATTTCGCTATTCTATAACGAGAATGACGCTTTATTGTTACGACGTGCCGTTCAGTGGATATGTTTAGCAAACAAACTTTGCCAATATCGATAACGTGAATTGCTAACCATTCGCTATACGAGATTCATATAGATAATTGCAACACGAATTTTCCGAGAAGAATCAACACACATACAAACGAGCAGTCTCTAGAATGCAAAAATAAATTGATAGACATTTTTGTAATTAAAATGTGAAAGGGAAGAAGAGCGGGACTGAAGAGAGGGCGTGTACGAAATATTTTGGGGGCTGAAAAGCAAAAGACTGAAGAGGAGTAGAGTGTAGAAACTCATTTGAGCTTTTTTATCGGTGATCGGTTAAACGGTGCGATCATTCCGGATCGTTCAACTGAACAAAATCGGGTATTTCGTTGGAACTTTCAACAGCATTGGCTGCACGGAACATCTCTTGCACACCGTTCTCTTTTTTTTTAATCACCGCCGCCAGACGATTGATTCCACATCAACCCTGTTGCGTAATCCAAACGATATCGCTATAACGTTGTAATCTCATCGTCATGATGGATATATTCGACGAGCTGGTTCGATTCATTAAACGCTATTAAACCTATTCCTTACTGAAAGTGTCGACGGTGCGAGCTATTTATTATTAATCGTACAAGTTTTCATATAATTATTCTTAGTAAAGAATACAAAAAATCGTATACATTTTTTGTTAAATAAAATTTACAATACTAAAATATACTCAATTTTATATATATTCATTTTTTTCTACATAATATTCTAATGTATTAGAATACCTTTAATAACATATTTTAAAAATTAATTAAAACACTGCAAGTTTTAAAAATAATTACATAATATTTATGTGCAATCCAAATTAAATCTTCTATTGATAAACTCGTTATATCATGATTATCACAACGTATTTGAATAAAAGAAGTCAAAAGACAAAATCAATTAAACGTTAAAAATTAGTTTCAACTGCCGGTGTAAAGTTGGCACCCCATTTTGAAAAAAATCGATATTTTATACACAGTTCCGTTTGCACTTACAATAGTTCTACAGTTCCTGCTAAGTTTTAACAATAGTTCCGCTGATTTAGCTAAAAAAAAAAATTTTTATAAATTTTTATAAACCTACAGAAAGCGTTAGAACTATTGTAGAACTGTAGGAAAATGGCAAAAAGTCAGCGGGAACTAACTTACGTGGTACTTTATTCTTGGGAGTGGGGTGCTGGCTCTCACTTTAAAAAATTGTTTAAAAATACTTAGAGGCCGGAACTGTCGCTGAAACCTATCAGAAACTGTAGAACTCTTCGAGAACTTTAGAATTTCGTGATAAAAATTAATTTTTGCGATACTTGGAGTGCCACGCGAAGTTGACACCCCATTTATAAAATTTTTTTTTTTAGTTAAATCAGCGGAACTATTGTTAAAACTTGGCAGGAACTGTAGAACTATTGTGGGTGCAAACGGAACTGTGTATAAAATATCGATTTTTTCAAAATGGGGTGCCAACTTCACACTGGCGTTTCAACTGTGCTATGAAAATTGATAATCGAATTGATAATAGATAACAGATTAATTGACTGTACGTGCAGAGCTTTACACAATTCGTTGTTTATAACTTTGACTCTGCTTATATAATTTCAAAATTATATCTATATTATCTATAACTTTGATATGAGAATTTCGCAAATTTAATTAACGTTTAAAATGTATTTGAATCATATCATTTTAGAGCTATTCAGAATATCATTATACGTAATATCGCAAACGATATTACTCATTAATATTATAAGGAATGTAGACATCGATAATAAAAAGCTTGCGCAATGGTATTACTGACTTGTCATCGTTCACGCAAAGACCAACGTAATATTACGCTCGTGGATTCACTCTGCCGTTAAGACATTATCTTAAAACTCGTTTTTCCGAGAGAGTCTCAGTTCGTAGTTTAACGCTACGATGCGCAAATGAAAAGGACTATAACATCTTATTCTATTTAAGTACTCGTAATAAAAGAAACTGCGCGTTTTTGTCGCGAGCCTTTCAACGGAAAAGCTCTTTAGACAATCGTTGCGACGGATTTAATAACACAAACAGTATTACAAAAGAAATGCCTTTTACATACAAACACAATCAATGTCTATAAAAAATATGTACAATCCTCGATAATCGTGGGAATCCTTTTTCTCTATTTTTATCTTCAATAATATTTTTAAGTCCATCATCGAACATCTGAATTCAATTTAGTGCGATAAAATCGTTTGATTTTCTAAGCGTCTGGCTCGCTAGTGTTAGCAAAGAATCAACTGAGCTTTCTTCCTCCCTTCAAGATTCCAGGAAAAAAAAAGACCTTAGAACTCGTGAGGATGTCTAATAATTGTAAAAATCTGAGGGTCAACGTAATCTTGACTTGTTTTACAAGTTTTACAATCACAAATATTGTTTTAAGCACAGCGTTTATCTAATGAATAATATACAAAATTATTAATTACTTATTTCTGACGATAATGAATACTTTCTTATTGAATATCATTTAATGTCTGTGTTTCTCCACAGTTGGATTTTTAATCTTCAATTCATTAATCGTATTTTTTATCGCCCGCTGTTACAAATGGAATTACGAATTCCTGAGCGGAACGTCCATCTACGAAAACAGTCCTATAATCGCAAGTCATTTTCCTGAAATCTACAAATCAACGGGGGTCCAAGATACTTAAATTAGATTAGATTTCGCTTATCTGCTTTACGAGTGACATAAAACGTGAGTATTGATGTCAACGCACTCAGAGACTGATATCAATTAAGATCGATGCCACTCCACCATGAAAATCGTGATGTACGAACTGTCTTCCAAACATTGATCCACCGGATCGGTCGTAAAATAAAGAATTGGCCAGGAAAGGTACTGTGGGTGCTACGATCTTTTTCGAGGGTTGCTTCGTCCCGTTGTAACCCTCTAGTAGTATCTACGATCGCGCACACACTCATGCTGTGATACCGCAGGGGCGGATCGGCCCACGCTCAACCTGAATACTGATTCTCGACGGACGCATATATTACCACCGTGGATAAAAGACATTTGCATTTTGATGGACTGCGTCGAGTGCATTTGACGTTTCGTATGCATTTCACCGGGCGCGCGTGTACGGTCGGAACTACCTCGGAGCTGCCGTGAAAAACTCGGTCTTACCCATATTTATCACCCAATGTTGCACGTCCATGCATATAGCCGTTTGTATTTATCTCGTGCCGTGCGAACTCTTTGAGGATATCTCTGCAATGAACTTACCATCGCGTTTGCATCGGGTATAATGCGAATATAGCAAACACTGCCGGGCATTATAGCCTTTGATTGTGTATATACATATATACCCAAAAAAAGAAATTAGAATGAAAAAGTATCGGAAAGTTGCCAGAGATAAACTCGAAAGAACAAGTAACGACATTAGAAAATTTTATTACGGTAATCCCGAGAGTAATCTTTATTACAGGTACTATATGTGATACTACACCGAACAAAAATTACTAAATTTTAATACATATTTCTTCGAATAGTACTAAGTAAACATTTACTTGCAGTAAAAAAAATATTTACTCAGTAAAAAACTGAGTAAATCAAATTAATAATTTCTGAAACAATAAATCAATCAATTTTTTTTGGGCTCTTGAGATAATATATTTTAATTAATAATTTCTGTATCAAATAAATATATATTTACATTTAGTAAATATTTATTAGTTGTTTGAATATTTGTTGTTAAATTTGTATTAGGTCTGAATATTTTATTATTTATAGGTTTAAATATTTATTATTAGATTGTTTGAATATTTTAGAGTAGATATTTAAATAAATATTTATTAGAATTTAGTATTTTTTTTCAGTGTATAAAATATCTTATTATCAATAGTATGAAATAATAGTATGCTCGAAAATATCCTCGAATAACTATCGAGTTCATTTATCTTCACTATATTCCGTCTTCCATGCAGACTACGATATCAGAGAAAGTATTAATATATCTCTAATTCGTATCAGAGTATAAATTCGAGCGAGAACATTACTCATTCCGCTTTAGCACAAGTCTGCCAAAGAGCTTCGAGAAATCAACTGCCAAAATTTCGATCTCGGGCTTGAGTGCCAAAACGTGGGATGAGTACGGGATTGCACGGACAATGGTGCGAAAGAAGTGGCAAATTGAAAAACCGTCCTATGACCAAGAACAGAATCCGTGAGGGCGGAAGAACGCGTCCCTACGCATTTGCGGGAGATCGGGGGGTGAAAAACCCCTAATATCCGCTGAATATCCTTCAGCTTCAGTTCCTGATCCTGATCCATGACGGAAAACTCGCGGTAATTCACATGCACCGCGTTTGCATGATCAGAAAATAATGACTCATCGGCAAAATCGGTCGAAATAGCATAGAAACTCTTCGAAAAGACAAACTCACCATTATCGTCGACTTCCCTTTCGATGGTTGCGTGTGATACACGATCCCTCGCGCTTGCACTGTGATAGCTGCACGTTCTTCTTTAAAACAATCGTTCCATCGCATGTAACCTGATGATCGTCACACTGCGCACTTGCGACGACGCAGGAACATTCTTATCCCAACAAACCAGCAACGTTCAATTGTAGGCAGCATATCTGAGAACAGAAAAACATTACATAGATTGATTAAATGTCCAACTCGAGATAGTTACCTGTTATTAATTACAGGCGTTTCCTGTTTTGTTTAAAATATATTAAAAGTAAATACAAAGTGTTTCAAAAGTTACTGTGAAGGAAATTTGAAAAGTTCCTAGATTTATTAAACGCTCCCCTCCCCTCTATATGTATAACCGCGCCAATAGCGAAGGTGCATAAGCTTGCTATTCAAAACTTCCAACTTCCCTTCAAACCAACTAGATGTGGCGTAGGTGATCCATCAATGAGAATGTGTGCTGAAATATATGTACGGTATGTTTACGAGGGTGTAGGACTCTTCATAATCCTGATGTCAGTTTACGGATACGAGCAACTTAAGATTCTCCCCATGGTAGAACTGCAGTAAGCATTATCTTCGCTTACAAGTAAGTAACCAAGAGAAACTTGGAACACGAAACAGGAAAATTACTCCTTTGACACGTTACAGGTAATCGTGAAGGAAAAAGGCTGCGAGCTGGGAGTGTGGAGAAGCGAAGGAGATGGGTAGCCGGAGAACGGAGGACTTTCAAGAAAACTTGCGAACCCGAGGGAACGCTTGAGAAGCTTTATAACTTCGACAACCTTAAATCGGCAAAACTGCCGCGCCTCTGGTGGTCGTACAGCGCGTCCAAAGCGGAATGAGGAAAGCAGGAGCTGGGAGGTCGGCGGGGAAGGATAGTCGAACCAGTCTGGGAAAAGAGAAGGAAGCGCGAAGAAAGTAGTTGCACGTATACTCCACTTCGTGAGATAGAACGGGGATACCGCGATGACTATGATCCCCCACCGTTCTCCGTCTTCTTTGATGAGACAACTTGCCCTACAGCTCGAGTACTTCGATTATGTCCGAGTATATGATGACGTAGTATCCATATTTCTGGACTATTTACGACAGACATGGCGATTATGTCCCATTGACAAGTTTCAGTTTATCGACGATTAGAATTGCTTTACAAATATAGCATAAAATATTTTTCACTAATCGTATCTTGATACGAACTCACTGTTGCGTTTGTATGTAGATAATTACGGTATATTAAGAGACTATGAGAATTTAACGAAGAAAATTAACGTGTTCTTTTTCGAAATACGACTACATACCTGCCTCTGGAACAACGGGCTGGGTGTAATGCAAGTTAATTACTTGTTATGATGATGCATAGCACCGCTAGAATAAACAGATGGAAAGCTGCATTGCGTGTATAAGCTAAACAGTATTTTTCTCCAGCTTGCAGCTCTGTTACGTATATCGAATTATAGTTTTCTAATCAAGTTTCTAATTATATCGAGAAAATTAGAAAATATCAAAAGACTTATCCGAGGACTTATCTAATGAAAAAATAATTCTTGAAAATAAGAAATGAAATAATTCAGATCTATTACTTTTCAGTTGCACATCTTTTTCTCACATTAATTGAGGGAAAATATAATTATATTGTACGGTCTGTGTGTTTTGAATAACATCGGAACACACCGCGATGCGTACGATCATCGAAAGTGAAAGACATCGTAGAGTGATGCAAGTCTGAGCGTTGGGAAATACCTGCACGCCCCTCCAGTTTGCTGTCTGCGCGACGAAGAGTCGTGTTGGGGGTAGCATCGTCAACCAAGTCACCCCTAGGCGACTCACGCCCTTCGCGTTCCCTCACAACCTTCCTCCCCCTGCTGTTCCACTATCCCTTAGAAAAAACTCAGACTTACAGTTAGTAAAGAGACAGCCTATCCGCGTATATAAACAATAGGACCAGACACCCAGCCTAACGCCCTTTTTTCTCTCACCTACCCTTTCGCTCGCAACCACGCGTGTCTGCGTGTCTGTCTGCGCGCGTATATGTGAACGTCGTCGTCACCGAACTTTACTTCGCAGATATCTCATCTTTGTCCTCAACGAGAACAATGTCTGGCTGCTTTTTCCGCGGTGATGCTCGTGCGCGCCCTCCATATCAGACGTATGCTTTCCCGGTACAACGTGGAAAACAATTATCTGTCCCACCGGATACGAAGCTGCATCTCTCCGTCGACTTTCGACGCCGCGCTCGTAAATCCGAATTAGACGCAACGTGAGTCGTCGCGCACGATCAGATGACTCTTACAGCAGACACGCGTAATGGAATTAACTCTTCTGCGGTTCATGTAAACTTCAATTTCATCAAGAGGTCTATAATTTTTTATAAGAAAATTAATGATTCATTTAATAATATATATTTCGAGAATTCTCTTTAAATATACATGGACAGATAATATAAAGATAGAGAAATTTCATTCAATATACTACGAGAAATAGATAAACACGAGAGTGTACGAATCAAAATGCTTTTCGTGAGTGTTACGGCGGTAACCAAAAACCACAATGTTCCATTACGAAATAAACGTAACCGCATGTGCGTGGACAGTCTCATTCTGGTTTCGTACATACGTTCCTGCAAATGCAAACTTCGTGCGAACCGGCGCGACGCGGCGAAAAGCATTTACTGAAGTACTGGCATTCACATCCTCGGCCGAATAACGCAGAGCAGTAACGCACAGAAAGTACAAAATAGGGAGCCGCCAGGTCCCCTTTGTTTTCGAGCGTATTCTTCATCTATCTTTTTCTCTTTCTTTCTCTCCGACGGCTCTGGTTGGCGTCACAGTCAATGGCTGGGTGCACTCGTTCAGACCGAAATTGTTTCCTCGTTTGTTCTTATTTTTATTCTTGCACCTCTTTACCGGGCTCGCTGCCGCACCTCGTACAAAAGTAACGCAACACCTTTTGACGATATTATTACGCCCTCATGTATATGGCGGATTCTGTCATTCACGTGAACGAATCCAGATCACGAAGGTGGCTGGCAGCCAACCATCGTACCACCTGTCAAGAGTTTCGCACCACGAAATGTTTTTCTCTAGCCACGGAACAAAACAAAAATCCTGTCACAGTTCACTTCCGCCACATTTCTGTCAACGTTTTTTTCCATCTCGTTGATGAGAACTTCTAGTCACAACGTATACAGTTTAAATGGCTTTTTCAAATCATGAATACGTATTTCAGATGTTTGACTCAGAAATAATATGAAAGTAAAGAAAAGTTAAAGTTTTAATGCAATGGAGTACGATAACTTGCTTCATTGAACGTACAATTTCGTAAGTAAATATCAATTAAAGGATTTTAAAAAGTAGTACTTATGTATGTTAACGCTAAATATAAATTCAACGTATTATGCATAGTTAATTGGATTTATTTACACAAAAGATCAAAACTTGGCATCAATGTTAAAATATCCGATGTTAAAATATTAAATATGCTTTTAACTGCGTCGAGAATTTACAGACTGTATTAATGATTCCGGGCATTGCAGGGCTATCATGTCGCGGGATCTATCACCGGGGATTTGGTGCTACGCTGTCAGAGAATCTCTATAATACCCAAGTTACAGCACCCTTGCATTCACCTCTGACCGTATCCCCTTAACAACAGTTCAATTAGTTCCGGCTTAACGGCTCTCAGTTCCGGTGACTCGTGATCGGAATCGCTAACAATTATTTCTTGGCAGAAACGGAACATTTCAAATTTCTTCCCCTTGCCGACATCAAAACTCGTAGATCGAGTTCTGAACAAATTTTTCCGCACGCGAAGGTGAGAACAGTTTTTATTGGGGCACGTGACGTAAATTACTTCGATATCTTTCTAGACCGGAGATCGTTCCTCGCGAAAATGGGTCACGATGGATTTTCGATAATTATGTTTACATTTATGAATTTAAAAATACATCAAAGAAATTTGAATACGCTACTCTCAAAATCTCAATCTGTAAAATTCAACTGAAAAGGAAACGAAGTTTGAGTGTTATATAATTAAAATATCGATATTTTTGCAAACGTCAGTTTCAGTAAGATATAGAGGTACATCGAATTTACACATACTAAAGCAAAATTCACCAGGTAGGGATTCCACGTTTTATTGATTTTTTAGATGAATTTCGTTGTAAATTCACTGATTTGTTCAGTGGCACACTTGGGACTGATATCAGTGACTGTCCACTGATCTAGATTTAGAGAGTATATTCCACACCGAGAGAAAAAAATTTGTGATATTTGTAATTATAATTACATACTACTATAATCATAATTATGACTACTATAATATTAGTAACAATAACTATATGTACATGATAGTTCTATCAACCAATATATATAGATGGCATTGAAAAATTACTATATATATATATATATAATTATAGTAATATGTATTATAGTTACAAATACCAAAAATTGTTTTCTCAGTACATCTATATGGCAATATATATTCCATCAACAAGTCAAGAGTTAAAAGAACTATTATTAAACATAGAAATCTTTCAAGACAAGTTACTGTAGGCACTATTCAATCATTTTACAATGTTTAGTCTCGATTCCTCTCTAAGATATATATTTAAACAATCGGTTACGATTAAATACGAATTTAAGAAGCAAATCATTAAGTCAACCGAAAGTTATTTGCGAAAGGTGACTCAATCAAGCGAAGTTAAACTCGTGGAAGGAAGGTGGATCAGAGATCGTAAAATCAAGTATCCTGAAAGAGCTACCGGAGAACTGGAGCAGCAGTCGGGCGCGCCTTAATGTGTTTGCCCGCGAAAGTGCCTATCCGGAAATGTCTAGGAAATGAAATAGCGTTGCGTACGTAAACGAGCTGTCAGAGCACTGGCGAGTAAATAACTAACTTTCTTCGCCGAGCCGTTGCAGTGCCTTAAGCCGCTACGGAGAGCTCATTACGAGCACGACATGTCCCGCGTTTTCGTAAAGTTTCTGCGATAAGAAAGACAGCACGGTAATTACGACGCTATGTCTGCGCCTCATAGATCGCTGAATAAACCAAAATCTGCGTAATATTTACAACGATGAATTCGGCACTGTTGATTTCGGAATATTGCGATTGAATTATTATCGTATATCAAACAATACTGATAATATTCCGTTACGTCTATAGG